TTTATTTTATCTAATAGGAACTTCTCTTGAAAGTGGAATGTTACCTACAGTGTGTTTTCAATGCTTCAAGTTCAGGTAGAAAAGTCTATAAAGTGTGTAACTGTGAAAACTGCATCATAATTAGTTTTAGCTTTAATATTTTCATATTAGTATTTGCACTGATCATATTAGAACATTAAATATATTTCAAATATATATAGTCCAACAGATTTATTATTATCTATGATGTAGCATTATTTATATCCAATTCAGATATGAAGACCAGTGTGGACGTCTGTTGTGAGAGTCGGGGTTCTGGTTATCATGGCATAAAACAAGAAGATCACTTTACAGAAGTTATTAAAACCCTAAAACCAAACAGTGGTATATGTGGAGAAACAACTTTAAATGGAAATAAGCTGAAAGAATTTAATATATCTCAATGCAGCTGTGTAATCAGTGAAAAACAACTCGAAACAATGGATAACCTAACACAAGAACAGAGGATACAATCTGGAGAGAAACCATATCATTGTGCAGTTGATGTAAAAAACTTTGAGAGCAATTGTTCCATAGAACAACATGAAAGAATGCACACTGGGGTGAAACCTTACAGTTGTGGTGTTTGTGAAAAACAATTTACAAGAAACAGTGATTTAAAAGGACATCAAAGAATACACACTGGGGAGAAACCTTACATTTGTTCAGTGTGTGGAAAACAATTTAAAACAAATGGTGAATTGAAAGGACATCAACGAATACATACTGGGGAGAAACCATACATTTGTGCAGTTTGTGGAAAACAATTTAGAAGAAACAGTGATTTAAAAGAACATCAAAGAATACACACTGGGGAGAAGCCTTACAGTTGTTCAGTTTGTGAAAAACAATTTAAAACAAATAGTAAATTAAAAAAACATCAAAGAATACATACTGGGGAGAAACCATATAGTTGTACAGTTTGTGAAAAAGAATTTAGAACAAGAAGTAATTTAAAAATACATCAAAGATTACACACTGGAGAGAAACCATACAGTTGTTTAGTGTGTGGAGAACACTTTGGTACAAAGAGTATCTTAAACTCACATCAAGGAACACACACCGGGGAAAAACCTTACAGTTGTACAGTTTGTGAAAAACAATTTAGATTAAACAGTGAATTAAAAAGACATCAAAAAACACACACTGGTGAGAAACCTTACAGTTGTGCAGTTTGTGGTAAACATTTTGTAGAAAGTATTACCTTAAAAAATCATCAAAGATTACATACTGGGGAGAAACCTTATAGTTGTGCAGTGTGTGAAAAACATTTTGTATCAAAGGGTGTATTAAGAAATCATCTAAGAAAACATACTGGGGAGAAACCTTACAGTTGTACAATATGTAAAAAACAATATGGATCAAACTCTGACTTGAAAAAACATCAAAAATCACACACTGGGGAAAAACCATATAGTTGTTCAGTGTGTGGAAAACATTTTATAGGAAATAGTATCTTAAAATGTCATTTAAGGACACACACTGGGGAGAGACCTTACAGTTGTGCAATTTGTGAAAAACAATTTGGAAGAAGCTCAGAATTAAAAAGACATCAAAGAACACATACCGGGGAGAAACCATACACTTGTGAAGTTTGTGGAAAACACTTTATATCAAAGGGTGAATTAAAAAGTCATTTAAGAACACACACTGGGGAAAAACCTTACAGTTGTGCAGTATGTGGAAAACACTTTGGTACAAAAAGTAATTTAACAAATCATCAAAGAATTCACACTGGGGAGAAACCATACAGTTGTGAAGTTTGTGGAAAACAGTTTATATCAAATGGTGAATTAAAAAGTCATTTAAAAACACACACTGGAGAGAAACCTTACAATTGTACAATTTGTCAAAAACAATTTGGAAGAAACTCTCAATTAAAAAGGCATCAAAGAACACATACTCAGGAGAAACCTTATACTTGTGCAGTATCTGAAAAGCACTTTGGAAGAAATAATTACTTAAAATCACATCAAAGAACACGTGGAAAAATTTGTTAAGGAAGTAATAACTTAAATAAACATCAAATAATACATCATCTTTGAAAACCATACAGTTGTTCAATTTGTGGAAAATGCTATAGAAGAAACACTTAAATAAAAGAACATCAAAGAAAATACACTGGGGAGAACTGTTACATTGTTGTAGCCTCCATATCTCAGCAGTTAAGATGGCTTACAATAATATAGATTGGGTTTTGATACCTGTAGTTGGCACATCACATATTGCCCATTGTGTAGCTTTGTAATGTATCATTTAAAATAAAATTAAAAGACCAAAAAAAGGGATCTTTTCATCCATTTTTCACAATTTCAGTAGGTTCTTAGCTTTTTTTTTGTCAATATCAGTCACCAGCTCTTTCATTTCATTTGTCCCCTAATAACATTAGATTTAGTGATGAGGTGAGCCATTTTACTTCCTGTGCATTTTTCAGTAAATTTATCTGCATTCAATTGAGGAGATTTTGTTACTTCATAAAAGAGTTTTTCTCTTCTTCTGGACTGTACATGAACACCTATCCCAAGTGTTATCCTGTAACAAATTTGCAAGTGAAGTTTGTTGGATTTTGTAGTGTTATTTAGACTTATTAAACATTAATGCAAAATTGCTAGCTTGTGCCTATGAAATCAACTGATCCTATATGTGTAGTGCCAGTCTAAACCTTGTCAAATACCCTTTTTTTGACTCTCCCACATTTGAATGCTTTGCAAATATTACTATCAGCAGACATTGACAGGTACAGTAACCCAGTATTTTCATTGGACTTATAAGAGTTATCCTGAGTAACAGTTTCCACAGTTCAAGGAATTTCTGTTTTGAGTATCCCCATGGATCCAAAAGTCTAACATAGGTTGGCAGCCACTGGTTGCATTAGGCTTAGATCTAGTCTACATATTATCTCTAGACACATTTGTACTGGCCCCAGTACTTGTTTCTGTAGGCCTAGATCAGACTGTGCTATTTGGCTTGTAGTTTGTAATGACATTTGTATGCATACACTGGAAAGTACATAAATTTGTGCTTTCCACTTTCAGTGTGTGAGTGAACGATTGTAATGTCCATTGTTCTAAGTCGAAATGTCTTTGTGTACTCCTTGCACACATTGTGAAACAAACCAAAGTTACAAAAAATGCTACAGCATCAATACCCACAGAAATTAAGACTTCAGAAAAATCCAAAAACCTTTGAATTTCAAAGATTTTTAAGGACTTGTATGAACCCCACTTTAATTCCATGCCAAGTTCTTTTGAGCTTTGATCTTAATAGATTTCCAGCTTTAAAAAACACACTGGGCAAAATAATTAACGGAGCAAAAAAAAAAGGGCCTGAACACTTCTGTAAATAATAAAGGTAACAGAAATGTTAATTACAATGAAAAAGCCTTTATTATGAACTTTTCTGAACCAAGTCTTTGAAGAGTTTTCATTTTCTGAATAACTTATGACATTACTGAAGAACACCCCTCAAAACGAAAATGTGATCCAGTTTGTGTATACAACATGAAAACATGAGGAACACAAAACTAATGTTCAAAATTAACCTCCAGTAAGAGGTATGACTACATTGAGCTTGTATACACTTGACAACATGTTGGCATACTTCTGAAAATGTGTTTCATGTAGTCTTGAAGCATGGCATTCCATTTGTCTGTCAAGGTTTGCAGCAGATTACCAACCTTGGCAGGGGGAGTTGCATGGCAATGAATCTGTCTATACAGTTGGTCTCATTCATGTTTGAAATCTGGAGATTTTACTTGCTGCTCTAAGTAATCCGTGGATAACCTAGCAATGTGTGGTCTGGCACTATCCTACACCAATGTGAAATTGTCTCTGCAAAAAGTCTTACAATAGGGTGTAGAATGTCATATTAATACAGTTGTGCAGATAAGGGACTTTCAAGGAAATCTCAATCCAGACTATAACAGAACCTCACCAAGTGATCAAATTCCACAGTATTGCAAGCCGAATAACATTCACCCTGGCATTGCAATACATGCACATGTGTATCACAAGTGGAAATATGAAATCGAATTTTGTCTGTAAGCAGTACAAATCTCCAGTGATAAAGTTGCCAGTTGTGATGTATATATGATCAAATCTGGGCCATGATTGGGTCTTCTGGCTCTTAATCCACATTCATGAAGACTGTTATGAACAATTTGGTCAGATACATGGGTACAGGTTGCTCGATAAAGATCAATTTGACAATTCTGTAGTGCTAAGTTCACCAAGTAGCAGTCCTGTCATTGACTTGTGGCACATGTATGGGCCTGGTCTCCTGGTGTATATCCAGTGGATTGGTAATGTCTCCAAAATCTTGCCACTACACTGGGGGCTACATTAAACTTTGTAGCAACAGTTCTCTGTGTAGCAGAATTTTGCTGCATGCACACAGCTGGTGTGACTTCAGTCTCATCCAAATAGTGCCTAATACAGTCTGTCAACATCAGAACACTGAGAAAAACACAGATCATAACAAGGAATTTCATGGTCCACTGTAAATTCTACCACATTTACAAACCTTATGTATGGATTTATTTGTAATGCATGAACTACTCACCACTTAAAAATGAACAATGTTCACCATCACACATCATTTGTGTTCATCATTTAATGTTAATACTACTTAAATTTTTTGCACACTGATCAATTTGTTTTTTATGTTTGCTTACATTCTTGCTCCCTTAATTTTGTTGAGTAGTATAATAAGCATAAATTACAAACCTTTGTACTAATTGTTTTTAATCTTAAATTTGTAACAAGCATGTATTAGGAATGCTTGATTTGATTTGTTATCCACTTACAAACAATTAAATTTATGTAGAAATTTTATAGATAAGGAAGAATATTTACATAATTACTGACTTATTGATAATTATGGCAAACCAAACTTTCTACAGCTTATTGTTATGTGGATATTCTTTATTTAGATCATGCAGTCGGTCATTTATACTGTTAACCTAGAAAAATGTAAGTTGAAACTTCAACCAAAAAATTATATCATTATGGAGTTTATGGTTTTTAGTAATTATGAAATCTGGGAGTAGAGGAGAACTGGAATCAAAGATGTTTTTCTCATATTATTAAGTAAATTTTAAAATTTTCTTAGAGTTTATTTATATTGAAACTGTTTTCCTATTGTACAAAGGCTTTTCTGCAAGAAATAAAAGCTTCATAATTAAAGGAAATAAAAATGTTTAAATTTTTCTTTGAGCTTCTAAAAATACATTTGAATTGCTAAAATATTTTGTGATGAGCTGGTATTGTAGTTAAGGTTGTTAATGATTAATTTATTTAGTAAGCTCAAAATGAAAATTACTATTCAGTTATGTAATGACTTATTTCAGAATTTAAAAGTCAATTTTAATTTATAGTGTATATCAAACTTTTTTCCAAGATAAAAAAATGTACAAAAGTGACTATTTGATCTACACCTAATTAATTTTACAACTGGAAGTTTTGTGATGTAGGTTATGAGCAAAACTGTACTAATTCTGATAATACTATAATTACTTCTCCCAGAAAAGAAAAATAGATTACTGCTATAGAAATATGGAGTAATGGAAGAGTTGTGTGGTAAAATCTGTTACTACTGCAGTAACAGTATAATGTTTTAAGATTATTCAGGTTATTTTATTCTAATTCCTGTAATTGTGTATACAATTAGAAATCAGTCAGGTTTTAATACCTTTTCACTTCAGGAACTTTTGTGTAAGTGTAACTGTATTATTGCAAGTTAAAAATATTTGCAATTATAAAATATGGGTAAATGTATGAGGTTAAATACAGTTTATTTATCTCTTTTTCTGTTCTTCATAATTAATCTTATTAGATGAAAATATTTTTTTTGTATTTATTTTTCTATAACAAAGCCACATTAGGTTATCTGCTGTGTCCATTGAAGGGAATCGAACCCCTGATTTTAGACTTGTCCTGCCAGAGGACAAATAAAAAGATTTTAAAAGTGACTCATTTTCAGTGACATTGCATGATAACCAATAAATTATGAAGATGCCTGATTTTTATCTTCTGCATAACTGAGATGCTGTTTTGTTAAAAAAAAAAAGACTTGTGATAATGCTTGTCTAATGAATTGTGACAGATATAGTAAAACTTTCACTATGATTATTTTATCTATACAAAGGTAGGATATGTTTGATTAATTTTCTAGAAGTTATATTTTAGTAACAACATGAATAGATTGAGCTGAAACTAGTAGGTAATGTGCCAGACTATGGACCTGAGATTCCATGGTTTATGACCCGTTATTGCAAAAAAATACAAACAGAGATCACCCTCGGCTATGGATAAGAGTGTTGATCAAATCCTGTATTTGTCTTGACAAGTGTTTGTAGTGGATGGTAATGACTAGCTGTCTTCCATTCAGTATGTCACCTTATTTAGCTTTTTTGCAAAATCCAACAGACATGATCAATTAATTCATAAGCCCAAATAATAATTGGTTGTTAGTGTAATTCCATGACTATGTTAACTACTCTTGTAAATTCTAATATAATTAAATAATAGCTTGTGATTAGCAAGTTTGTCTTTACCTTGAGGTGTTGCTGATACTTAACTGAGTGGCCCACTTTAACTAAGGATTAGTTCTTCCACTACCAATGCACCAGAATATCACATTACAATAATTTTGATAAAACAGATTATAATAATTATGAAATTTAACTTAAATGAAACTGTTTCGTCAATGCAGGTTATTATATTATACTTCTTATAATAGTATGATGTTAATTTAGTGTATCCAGCTGCTGATTGTCTTCTGTTTTTATTGACTTAATTTCCACGGTCACGCTATAATTCACAAGGAACGACACACGCGCTCGCCCAACTGTCCGTCTCTATCTGTGTCTGCAATTCAACTACATTCTTGCCGTCACTTCTTGGCGGTCTTATATATACAAGAATACCGCATATCTAGTAAACACTCGAGGCTTCAGGAAGGGACATGAACGTTCTAGAAGCGCATGACGTGTTACTAGCGTCACGTGACCTCCGCTGTCGTAATAATATATTTAATAACGGTTATCACACAAAATATTTCTAAACCTGTGATTGACTATAACATACAATTATGTATTATTGAAACAACCATAATTTTACTTTTAAAAATAAAGTGATTTTATAACAATAATTAAATCATTTTATGTTCTACAAAGTACACTTACGCTGATTCAATTACTTTAGAACCACACTTTGACGGAATGAACTATTATTATTACCTCCTTTTCTACTGTTAGTCTTACTCTAACATATGATAGGCCTATCACACTTACCGAAATTAACTTCATGCCGAACTTTTCCTTGGCTACATTTTTCAACAAGTTCGCTAACTTAATTCCTTCGTATTATCATCATAAAAGTTGATTATTTATTGTTTCATATCTTATTATTCTACTCTTACATTTGCAAATTATGCTTACACAAACCTACATCATAAACACTATAATCACAAAGATATGAATGAATAAAAATCCTACAATCCGAGCGCTTTCGAAAAGGTGGACCTTTTTTCTTCAGGAGCAAACTTTTTGAACCTACGTGTTTTCTAACAACATGAATCACAAAGGTGTGACAATTTTCATAAGTAAAATATTGTTACGTCTCTGGTCGTTTGTTAATTTTCCGTAAAAATGCTTTCCGAAGAAACTTTAGCGATACAAGTCCTTTCTTAAATATAACTAGTTTATTCTTTCTCTATACAACTTTGAAATTCACCATTTACAATGAAATTACTCCTACTAGTTTTACTACACATTTAAATAATTATTTAATACACTTTTTGTTTGGTTTTGTGCATCCTTTATGAAAAATTTTCTACATTACAAACAGTGAAAGACTAAGTTACACACTGCCACTGTCAGATATTAAGATCGCGTTCAATAATTGTCAGTTAAAGGCTTTTACTTATACTTCTTTATAGACAAGCTGAACTACCTTCTCTATTTCTATTGCACTTGTATTCTATGTATAATACACTTATAAATGTGGCGCAAGTTACCACAGTCGTATATTGCTCTTCCAGAAATCGTTTGGTCTTCTTTCTTCAACCCATCCTCCGTTTCTTTTGTTCCCGATTTCTAGCGTTGTAAGTCCGCAGACATATCGCTGTGCCACGGGGGGCTGGCTGACCTGCCAGTAGTTGAATGAAATCTGTTATCATTAAAAAATATCCAAGTTTGTGTGAAGATAAATGAGGTAGAACTGATGTATGCATAGATTGTTTATTATCGTTCCTTGGGAATCATAACTGGGTAACTTATAGTAAAACGTCAAATCTTTAACAATACGTATCAGACAACAAAATAAAATTATTTTACAAATAAAACTGTTATTTGAAGAACATTATAAGAGTAAAATTTTCTGAAAACAGTAACGCCTACTTTGGTCAAAGATATAAAGATAATAAAAAAATAGTCCCATCGTTATTATTTTGATATTCAAACTTAGTCCGATACATTTTGGAGTAGCTACTGTAGAATGCAAGATAATGTACATTCAAAGATGAGCTCAATACAAATGACCAATTATGAACAAAGCTACACAAGGGCTATCTGTGCTCTGCCCACCACGGGTATCAACACAGAGCACCGGTAAAAACTGTAAATATAAATATTTTTTTTCATATAGATTTAGAATTTTTAAACACTATATCATTAATGGAAATTAGGAATATTCAATTTGTAACGACGTTTTTAATATGGTACAATACCATTCATTTATATTTTATAAAAAAATCATAATTTCTAGTTGCTTTGATGTTGATCGAAAATGTGATGTGTTGAGGTTTCTGAAGATTCCTATGGGGACAAAGTTAACTTAATATGTCGGATGAATCTGAAATATATTAGTTCTTGTTTTCATTATGTTCAAATTGAAAGTGACGATAGAACAGGTTGTTTCTCAAGTTGTGATGATTGGTAGCCATACGATTAAAGAATAAAAGTAAATAGTATAGATGGCATCTTGATCATAGGTCAAAACATTGCTTACAAACAACAGTTTTATTCCATCATGAATTACTTCTTGAAAAGCCCCGCAGTGGCACGGCGGTATGTCTGCGGTTCCACGCTAGAATACGGGTTTCGATACCCGTGGTGGGAAGAGTACATAAAGCCCATTGTGTAGCTTTGTGCTTAATTACAAACAAACTTCTTGAAAATATATAACCTGTTGGTCATGAAAATATGAACCTAATTACAAATTAGTATCAGTGAATAAAGAACCAACTTGAACGTCGTGTATACTTTATTCTTTTGCCTAAACACATAGAACGCGTAAGATTTATTTTCTTTTATGCTATTCAACATTTTAGATTACTTTACAACATTATTCACGGATTGTGTATTAGTATTATCAGATCAGTTAGCATTATATATCCAATCACGTTGAATTATTAGCTATAAATTTGAACAATTGATCTACGACGGGTTATTTAATTTAGTTTTGTTTTTTAGTTCCTAAATGAATGAACACTGCATGATAATTTTAGATTCTATCACTTCTAGTAATGTCCCTTTTAGGTAATATATTTT